AAAATATTTGGAATGTTCTTTCTCTTGTCAAAATAATTAACGTGAGGGACATTTGGGTGGTTCGGTCGGTTAAGCGTCCAACTTCGGCTCAGGTCATGATCTCACAGTTCATGAGTTCGAGCTCCGCGTCGGGCTCTGTGGTGACAGCTCAGAGCCTGGAGCCTGCTTCGGATTTTGTGTCTCCCTCTCTCTCTGCCCCTCCCCTGCTTGTGCTCTGTATCTCTCTCCAGCAAAATATAAATAAACATTAAAAAAAATTTTTTCTAAATGACATGATTTAAGAGGAAGTCTTGCTGTAAGAAACCTGTGCTGCCGGTTAATGAAAACAGCATATAGTAAATGTGGATGGTGTTTCTGCGGGCTGACCTTCCGAGCAGTTTGCATTAAAACCTATCAAATTATTCATGGGCGTATTATGAGGGGCTTCAGGTATTTCAGGTGAATCATCTGGTATTTTTAATTGTGCTCCATAATTAAAATGTTAAAGGCAGATTATCAAAATATACTTTGTGACAAGAACTTTGTATCAAACGCTGATGGCGGTGGTGGAGAGTCTCCTGGGGGCAGAGTGAGCGGGAGCTACAGGCCGGGGGCATCAGTGCCCTGGGTGTCCCCATGGCGGCACACTGTTGTCCCGCAGGCTTCTGCTACGACTGGTCAGGAGCAGAAGCAAGAACGCAGGGGAGCGAGGTAGGACGTGGGCTGATGGCCTCAGGGCACAGGGATGGAAGCCGGGTGGGGGGTGGGGGGGCGGCAAGTGTGTCCCGAGATGGGCCTCGGGTTAGTGCGACGCCGGGAGGAAAGTAGGAGGCAGCACGTGGGAGCTGCAGAACCGACAGTCTTTCCAGCACGTGAAGAGCACTTCTGCGGCCAGGGAGCACCGACAGAGGCTGCAGCGCAAGTGGCTCAGAAGGAGCTCGTGTGGCCAGTAAGCACGAGCACACAGGAAGCCACGAGACTCCTCTCTTGTGTATTCGGGGGGCAGGACCCCTGCCTGGGCACGCCGCAGGTGTGGGGTGGTCCCGGGCCAGCAGGTCCCCCGCTGGGTGCTCAGACCAACCCTTAGGTTATAAAGATTCCACGAAAGGAGAGAGTGGCACCATCCATGCCCTCGAAGCTTCCCTCCACTTCCTTATGTGGCATTCTCGACTCCTGTCTCGTCTCCCTGCCCCCAGACATGATAGGACACACCCAGAAATCACAAAACTTCACCGTGCATAAGTCAGTAAAACGAACACTTAAGCTTAATGTGATTGTCGTGAATTTCAGTGCCCAGTCTGTGTTCATGTTTTCCTGAGTGTCTCTGTCTTCTCATGGCTGGTTTTTCTGGACCAGCGTTCCGGCAGGTCTGCCAGGCCTTCTGATTTAGAACTCTTGTGCTTTCCTCTTTAACTGTTGCTGTTTACTTGTAAAGAAACATGGAACTTTGTTGTAGTTTCTAGCATTCTGGACTTGGTTCTGGTGAGAATGTTCTCTGCTCCTCTGCCTGCCGTACGCTGGCGGAACGGGATGGATTTTAGGCCCCTTGTTGGGGCAGGATGGTGACAAGCCTCTGTCCTGAGCCAAACTTTCTTTCCAGGTGGGAGTGCGCTGAAGAGGGTGGCGACCAAGTGTGAGGGGGACAGTGGCCCCGGGCAGGACGGGGTGTCAGGCACCTGGAGCGTGGGACCCGAGGTCATGGGCTTCTGCTGCTCAAGGAGCCTGGAAGAGGTGGCAGGAGGCTGTGAGCACGCTGGGCCTGCCTGGTGCCCTTTGTGTGGGTCACTGTGCACAGACTGTGCGGTCCAACCCTTCCTGTCCAAGGTGTGTGGGGAACATGGCCGTCACGTCTTGGTGCTGAGATGGGGCCCACGAACCTGCTTGAAGGCTCCCGAAGCAGGGCATTGGCCTCCAGGGTGGGTTCCCCTCACCCAGCTCAGGAGTGCAGGAGCCCACAGGAGAGTCCCTGTGCCTCTACCTGCTGTGTCCCCTGCCCAGGTCCTGGAGGCAGTGGGGTTAGTGAGGGAGGTCGTGGGAGGGATGGAGGTGGTGGGAGCATTGAGGGGGTGGAGGTTGTGGCAGGGACGGAGGTGTCCCACGAGGGGAGAGGGTAAACTGCCTTAGACGTGCCACACTCCACACACTCATGCCACACACATGCACAGGCCCTGGTCCCTCCCATGGGCACACTCTGGGGAGCCACCCCCACTCCTGGAACCTTGGAAGGGGCCCGAGGGTGGCCCCCGTGCCCCCAGTTAGAAACCATGCCCTACGGTGCTAGCTCCTGCTCAAGCGCCTGTAGAGGCCGCGACTCCTTCGCCTACCACTTGTCACGCTGGCCACTGCTGGAGGGGCATTGGTTTCTGCCCGCGCAGGGGTATGGAGGGGCGGGAGTGACCTGAGCAGAGCTCCCACCCTGGGGAGGGGGTGCTGGCTGTGGCACAGGAGCCCGGCCTGGCAGCTCCTTTCACGTGGCCGGCCGTGGGCTCCTGGGATGCCCACACTGCAGGGAGGCCTGCGTGCTGACTCACGCTCCTCCCCTCCCCTCCTTTCCCCTCCCCTCTGCAGCTACATCTGCAGCTGCAGGGGTGTGGCTACGGCCAGTCAGGGATGATGGGGCAAGGGGGCCCAGAACACCTGCACATGACAGGAGGCTTATTTTTACACATCGTTGACTGCAAATAATCCACTTTATTTAAAGAGAATGTGGATTCCAAGTGTTAAAAAAAGCACCCAGCAGGGTGCCGGGCTCTGTGGTGCTGTGTGAGCAGAGCCCCTCTGTGAGCCCACAGCTCTGGGGTGCAGGGCACCCCCGAGCAGGAGCAGCTCTGGCCGTGGCTGAAGGCTCAGCCCTGTGTCGTGGGATGTGGCTGTCCCTCCTCTGTGAGGGGTCCCAAGATTTGTCTCTGGATTTCTGCCAAGTGCCAGACCATGTTGGCCTCTGTTTTGTGTGTATTTTATTTCTGAGTTTCCATAACTTGGATGGTTTTGAATAGTTAACGCACACACTCCGTTAGGCCGTGCGGCAGGCTGTGCAGGGAGGACGACACCCCCCATCCCCATCCTGGCCAGGCCCTCGGGTGCTCGCTGCACACTCCAGCATGGCTGTCACGCCAGGGCTCTGGAGCTGCATCGGGTGCTGGCGGGCCCGGTGCAGGTGTCTGGGTGTCAGATTGCAGGCCGATGGCCGCCTGGTCCTGGGGACACAGGCTGGATTGCCGCCTCCTGTCCAGGAGTCCTGAAGAAGAGCCTTTTTTCTCTGGATAGGATGTCTGTGTTGCAAGGAAGTTAATGGTTAAAGGAACAGAAGAAAGCCAAACTTCCTGTTCGTCTCCCACCCGAGACACCACGGAGACTTAACACTCTGGCGCTTGCTTTTACCCACACGCCCATGAGTGTCTCTTAGTAAATGGACCCACGCCATACTCAAAGCCGCACGCTTTCCTCATGTAGCCCAGCGGCCTCTGCAGACTTCTGTGTCCTGGCATCCGTGTCAAGCCTGCCTGGTCTTGACCTTTCCCGCCTCTTCTGCCCTGCTCCCTGGGGCTCTCTCCCGAGCTCCCTTCCAGACTCTGGGTGGGGTCCTCCGTGCCTCTGTCAGTTTCTGGGGATGTGGACAGCCACTAGCCCCTGGCCTGCAGCTGCCCGGCCGTCCTCACACCGCCGTCCCTTTGCATGTATTTCGTGTCCTGGTCTCCCCTTGTGAAGGACCCAGGTGGGACCAGGGCCTCCCAGTGACCTCATTTAACTTTGTTTTTAATTTTTATTATTTTTAATGTTTTATTTATTTTTGAGAAAGACATAGAGCATGAGAGAGGGAGGGGCAGAGAGAGAGGGAGACACAGAATCTGAAGCAGGTGCCAGGCTCTGACCTGTTAGCACAGAGCCGACGTGGGGCTTGAACCCACGAACCGTGAGATCATGACCTGAGCAGAAGTAAAGACGCTTAACCAGCTGAGCCGCCCAGGCGCCCCCTCATTTAAACTTTTAAATAAGGTACATTCTGAGGGCTGGAGGGTAGGACACCATAGAATTTTTGGGGTCACGCTTCAACCCCCGATAGCAGCCAGTTATCAGCTGCCAGAGCTGGGCGATGATGGATGCCAGCCTCACATATAAAGTGTACGAGGCAGACCCACAGGAGGTACACACGTTACTTGCGAACCACCACCTGACCAGAGATGGGGGGCTGCGGGGGTGCTCGTGTTCCGACCCTTTTCTGCGCGTCTTCATCTGCACAGATGAACATGTGCTCGCTTCTGTGTCTCCCCATGAGTGCAGCCTCGTCCTCAGGCCTCTGCCTCCACGTGTGGGTGCCGGGCTCCCTGAGGGCTGGAGAAGGTGGGCGAACTGCACCTGTTGTTGGGACGGCCTCACTCAATGGTGTTGCCTTGTCCACAATTAGGCTTCTGTCCTTAATTTAGATCTAAAACTCACGTAGTAAGCTTGAGAGTCCAAACGTTTCTATGTGGTGTTTATGCTATTGTTAGCACTGTTAAGTTTAACAGCAAATCTCTTCTCCTGTTTTATTTGTAATGTCAGCCAAGGCGCTCGGCCAGGCCCGTGTGCACCCGTGCTGGGTTGGCCCTGCAGGGACAGTGGGGTGTGGCCGACGGGTTTTTCAGGCAGCTCCAGCACACCACTCAGGTCTCAGGAGAAAGCGGGGCTGCGTTTGGGTTTGCGTGGAAGCTGCAGGCGGAAGTTGTTGGACAGTTTCTGGGGGAGCAGGAGCCCTGGGGCCGTATTACCGAGGCCCTTCGCTTGAGGGACTGAGCAGCGTTCTGGGGTCCACAAAGGCCAGCAGGCTAGGCTGTGCCGTTGACCGCGGCCACATACCCCGTCCCCGGCGTGCTGCATTCGTGGACTTTCTGCAGCATGTCCCTTTGTCCCTGGGTTCCCCGGGAGGCCTGAGGAGGAGGACCAGGAAGGAAGTCACCCTGCCTCAGAGAGGGAGCCCCTTGGGAGCTGGAGGTGGGGCGTGGCTGGGGCGTGGTGCTATCTCACCTGTCCTTCTTCCCCAGGAGGCAGGAGCAGTTCCAGAGAAACCCCGACAGCTACAATGGCGCCGTGCGTGAGAACTACACCTGGTCGCAGGACTACACTGACCTGGAGCTCAAGGTGCCGGTGCCCAAGCACGTGGTGAAGGGCAGGCAGGTAACCTTGGGGCCCCTCCAGCTCCTCCACACAGCTTTCTCTGTGGCCGCGGCTGTCTGGTGTGGGCTGTGCTGGAGCCGACTGGCCTGTCCTGTGGTCTCCACTGTCCTTCAGCCGCAGACATGACTGCCAGCCCTGCTGTGCTGCTGGGGTGCACCTGCTGCTGGGTGTTGAGCTCCAGTGTCCTCCCCCTCCCGTGGTTTATTGCGTGGCGTCCCCACAAAAAGCCTGACAAGGGAGGCAGGGTGATCCACGTCACGCCCATTTCACGGATGGAGCAGGCGCCTGGAGAGGCAGGGCGGAGATCCCCAGGTTGTGCAGTGGCCCATGGTTCCTGGGCCTGTGCTGTCTGGAGCACTGGGTGGTCACGGGGTGGGGGGCGGGGGAGGGGGGGGCATCGGCCTGAGCAGGGGCGCTCACAGCCTTAGCTGGTGTCTCTACTTGAGAGCAGGAGTAGAAATGTAACCTTTGATGGGGAGAGAGAGAGATGTTTACTCAGTAGTTGTGCACGTAGGGAGGCCTCACTTTAAAGGAAAAACCCCATGTAATTTGTGAGGTTGTCCCCTGAGTGCTGTTTGCCAGAGAAGCTGTATTCTTGCTTCTGTCTTCACAAGACTCTTCAGCCTGCGCAGTAAGCAGTGCCTTCCGTGTTTCGTAGGCAAGATGGCGGGGCCAAGCAGTTCCTTGCCACCCCCCCCCCCCAG